CACACACACACACATACACTGGCTGCTCTCTTCAACGTACAAAAATGTGTGAAGCCCAAACTCCGCCTCTTTCTGTCTGCAGGCCGGCTCAGAGAGGAGGGGTTAACTCTTTCAACACAGGGCAACAACATCAGAGTGAGGCTGCGATCAACAGGAATTTATTGAGTGATTATACATCACCGCAATATGGTTTAAAGTCTGGTTTTATGGTGTCTTAAAGTGTGTGAAATATTGTGCTTTAAACCACATATCAATTCCATCAAAGCAACAATGCAAAGTCTGTTGCAACACCATATAAAATGCAGGATTCTTAACATTTTTCATCATATTGTTTTCTGACCCGAGGTGGGAGAAGTACTCTGAGTTCTCACTTTTATGGTAGGCTGTATGTAGCTGTGCTGCTGTTGCATTCTTCCATCTTATTTGTTTGGAGGAGAGCAAATATTAGAAACACCTGCAATCCAATACAACATCGGCACAACCAACAGCTTGAAGACATTACCATATGCATGATCATCCACATCATCATCTGGTTTTAGGGTGTCTTAAAGTGTGTGAAATGTTGTGCTTCAAACCACATTTAAATTCCATCAAAGCAACAATTCAAAGTCTGTTGCAATACCATATAAAATGCAGGATTTATGTATATATATGTGATACTGTTTACTTACCAGAGGTGGAAGAAATACTCTGATCTTTTACTTAAGTCAAAATAATAATGCAAAAGTTCTGACTTATCTGAAAAATGTAAGTAAACGTGCTAATACTGGTATTACTAACATGTAGCTGATCAAGTGTTTCATACACTGTTGGGCAGTTAATGTGTGATATTTGAATTGTTGATTACATGTAAAATCTAGAAACTAGTTCCTAGCTGTCAAATAAGTGTAGTGGAGTAAAAAGTACAATATGTTTGAAATGTGGAGGACTAAAAATATACAGTGGCATAAAATGAAAATACCTTTTTAGTCTATAAATGTTGTGTTATTGGGTGGTATTGTGTTCTACACTGTTGTAAAGTAAATGTTTATTGCTTTTTGTTTAATTACTCACAAAGTCTTGACTTCATATAAATCATATTTATATATATAATCGTCTCCTATAAAAACGCAGCTGTCATTTTTCTGGATTTTATGTACTTTTTATCTTTAGAACTATTAAAGCTATATCTGTAATTAAAGTTAATAGAAAAGAGTCTTGTTCTGATAAAAACCGGTCTAGCCACCTTGTTTTGCAGGACGTTCAGCAATTTCGCTCAAGCAGTCAAATCCAAAGCCCCAAGGGTCCATGGGAGCAGTCCAACTGGCCCTTTCACTCACATTCATTCAGCTTGGAATGAGCTAATCCACCTAGCTGTGAACACAAAAGCCTGTGTTGCATCACAAATCGCCTAACCTTTACAGTTACAGACAATAAGTGTTTGTTCTTGCAGTCTGTACACAGAGACATCAAGAGAATCCTCTTTTGTTTGTAGAGACCATACAGTTGAGTAAACCATACACTGACCTAAACTGTGCTTTAAAAAGGGGAAGGTCAAGTTATGTAGTGATGTGATCGGCCTGTTGGAGAATCACATAAAGAAGCTACTGGAAACACCACACAATGGACTTCTAAAAACTGCAGCAGACAATATCATTCATCTGGTCATCAAGTTTTAATGCTCCTATCAGTGTCTTTAATAAGCTGGACACATTCACTGGGTAACTACAGCGAAAGGAAGCTCGCAGTGGCTGTCCTCGGTTTACCCATATCTGCAGAGTGCTAATGAAAAATTGATTGGCTAATAACACACTGAAAGTCTAGCCCCTTGCTGAGCACCCTGCAACATCTTCCACCTTCACGTTACTTGACACGAAACGCAACAATAAGTCACAGGGGTAGGATACAGATTTTGCATTATTAATTCAGAAGGAACATGTAAACAATCTGCTGTGTTTATAGCAGTTCCAAGAAGCGCGGTTACTGAGCTTTGTTGATGCGTTCTTTAAACTACAAGATCTACTGCAGGTTTTACTCTGCCATTTAGTCCAGATAGCCGCTTCTACACGGTCCCAAAGTGGGCTGATAAGGTGAAATGAGGCAAAAGGCATGTTTACAAGACTCCAGTGCTCACCCCAAAATTAAACGTTTGTGTGTATGCGTGTATGGAGTCAGTTTTGGTACTACTCTCTCTCTTTGACCGGTTAAAGGTTGACTAACTTACTGTACTCGTCAGCTAAAGAATGTTTGTCCCCTGATGCATGCGTGACAAAAGTACTGCTGCCTTTTTAAGAGGCGCAGTTAAGCAGACCTTATACAGGCACCGCTGCAGAAAATAGTCTCTCTCTCTCTTCGTCCACACAGGAAGCCTATCATAATGCAGACTGCAGTCTTCCCAATATATTCCATAATGACTAAATATGGGCCCGACACAACATATTTCAGACTATCAGGTAATCCAGCTGCTTTCCTAAGTGACACAAAAACAATATTGTGTTAAGATGCACAATGAGCCTGCAAAGCTACTCTAAACATTAGCACTACACTAGCAAGCAGCTCCCTCTATTCCTACTTTGATAGTCAATGAAAATTAAAGCTCAGCTGTATAAATAATTAGAGAAACATGACTGAAGGGTGTTTTTATTTTCAAAGGACTTGACCATCATTTGCATCCACATTAATTTGTCCAAAATACTGAACCCATTAATTACCAAGTGCTGCACATTGTAGCCTTCTTGGCGCATTCTATACACAAATCTATATTTACAATTACTTCAGATCCACATGATGATGTCAAATATTTGACAAAAGTGTTGCTGCCTGAATCCTTTGGACTGGCGAACAAATAAGAAATAAAAGGTTATAACCTTTAGCGATAACAACATCTCACAAATCATTTCACATTGACAAGTTTTTTTCCTCATAATTATTAGAAAATAAAAAAGCATGACCATGTAGGAAAGCAGTGAAAAAACAAACCATCCTGATTCCTTCAAAGTACAAACAATGAAAAAGCAGAAAAAGGAAAGGCCTGGAGGCGATGAAGCATAAAATACTATGTACAATAAAAAGCGCAATCTACTATGCAGGTTTCAAGGGTTCATTCCTGAATGGGCCTGGATTTTATTAGTCCTGTTGTGCTCTACTGACTGGTTACTGAGGATTCAGAAGCAGGAGCAAGGTAAGAGTGAAAACAGAATTCCCATTGGATGCTGTGTCATAAATACAGTATGTTATGACCACTTGGTGATCGTTCTGTGGAGCACTCTGATTGGTTGGCTGTCGAGTTTTCGCAGTCCAATGTTGCGGTTACAAATGGCACAGTGTGTCAGACCCCAGAGCCTGCCTGGCTATTATAATCAGTGGACTCCATTTTGAGGATGTATGGGATGATGCTGTCGATCTGCACGTTGCCGATGAGCCCGGCAAAAAACAGCTCCTCTGTGACAGCTGCACTTATCAGCCTGAGGGCAGGAAGACGCAGCAGCAGCCTGGATAACCTGAGAGCAATGAGGGGGGGAAAGGAGACATAAACTTTAAAGATGTGTACAGTTACTGTAGGACGTACATCTGTGGAATCGTCATAAATCTGTCTTAGGGAGCATTCTGTACTAAATCACCTTTCTGTCAATGAGCTGGCTTTAAGTAGTACAGAGGTAAAACCTACTGACCTATAAGAGTCTTCTGGGTAGGTCCTGGTGACGTAGTCCTGCAGCTCCATGTAGGCCTTCTCTTGAAACCGCTCTATCTGTGGGGTATTATCGATGCCTGGGTGATCTGTTACAAAAACAACACATTTAAACAGTCAGACATCAGTCTTTGCCCCTGTGTAAAAACTTTTTCTCTAAGGATTCTTTCAGGATTCAACAGGAAGAAAAAGACCTTGAAAAAAGTCATTTTATAAACTGGCCAGCTGCGTACGCACCAGGACTAAAGAGAACGATGGCTTTGAGGTAGGCATATTCATAAGAGTCTGGGGACAGCTTGATCATGCTGTTACAGAACTCCTGCATCCTCCAGATGTGCTCCATTACTAGTTTTACTCGTTCAGGGGACAGCTTATCTGTGGGAGACAAAAAAAACACAAGCTTAGAGTGGAGGAGGTAAGGGGCCAAGCATCAGTACAGTGTTTAGAAAACTGTGCTACAACAGTAAACAGATCTCAAGGTTTGCATGACACAGCTTGTTTTCTCCTCGGCATCACACTGAAAAACATTGTTTGGGCTTCTTTGTATTGTAGTAAAGCGTTGAACCTCGCAGGCGAACAACAGAAGAGCTCTCCTACCTTCCTGTAAGCTGGTCTGCAGATGGCTGATAATGGCACTTAGGATGGTACCAACATTCATAACGTTGGAGCACTGTGCCAGACCCAGGGCAAACAGTTCATTCCAGCAGGCTTTCATTAAGTTAATGTCATTGTCTTGACCACTGTAAAATGAAATAAGATTCATTTAAATTCACTACAGAGAACTATAGGACCACATCAAGGCAAACATCACCTAGCTGTTTTTTTTTTAATAACTGACATGTAATGACTGCAATAGGTGTATTTGTGAAACAATGAAAAACCTTGTGACAACGGCTTACCCAAGAGTTTGAAAGGCAGGAATAGAGCGTGCCCAGTGCATAGAGAGAAAAAGTAGCCGGGAAGCTGACTCACAGATGTAGTTGACATTGAGGTACTCTGGCACAGGCAAAGGCATCATAAGCTGGAAGAACACATTGTAGAGTGGAGAGAGAAAACATGACTGCAGTGTTTATCAGAAAAAACGTGTAACTTAATTAAACATAAGCAGTGGTTTTGGTTATCCTGGGGGTCAAGGTCAGTGGTCACTCTTTACCTTGAAAGGGATATGGCTGTCAGAGAGTAGAGGTCCTTCTAACTCGACCACAGGACCCGATTGGTCCCCTGACATCAGCTGCATTGTGGCTTCCAAGGACTCT